GTCAGGATGCCTCCTGGACGCCTCCCCGGGGAGGTGTTTCGGGCATGTCCTGCCGGCAGGAGGCCCCCGGGTCGACCCAGGACACGTTGGAGAGGTTACATCTCCAATCTGGTCCGGGAACGCCTTGGGGTCCTGCCGGAGGAGCTGGTGGAGGTGGCCGGGGAGAGGACGGTCTGGAGCTCCCTAGTTGGGATGCTGCCCCCGCGACCCGGACCCGGATAAGCGGAGGAAGACGACGACGACGACATTTCATACCACCAAAGTTATAACTCTTAATGATCATATTTCATTTTGACACATTAGAATAGAAACTATTTTAGGCATCTTTGTATAAACTTGAACAGGTTCTGCCATAAACAGGTAAGATTATAACCAGTAAGATCCCCTTAGTAATTATCTGAAATGCACATTCCCCTTCTAATAAAAGTATTTTCACGCACATAGTTGTATGAGAAGGTCAGGAGTTATTCTTTTTTATCCCAAAATTTAGTTAGAGTAAATTGAAACGACAGGTAGGAAGTATCTGAGTATTTATAACATCACATTTTTATAGGATTAAATGAATTTTGGATATCGGTGAAGCTTATTTCGTTTATCAAATAAACACCAAAACAGCCTGTCACGTTTTTTATTTTCATAGTTGTGTTTTCTTAGCTCTGCTCCAGCTTTTAGTCACCATTTGTTTATATTAATAATAATATTCTTTTGAATGAGTTTCACTTTAATTATGACTAAGAGATAACGTTTTGCCAAGCTCTAAAATTTAGAGATCTTTTTTTATTTGTTGTCTTTGACTGATAAATGATATCAAGTAAACAATTGTTCTTCCAGCAAGCTGTGAACACCTGGGGCAGGTACATAGGATCGGAGAGAGCTGGATGACCAGTGACTGCCTCCAGTGTGTCTGTATGGAGCCTTTCGGAGTTGGGTGCTGCGACCTGTGAGCTCGTTTGGTCATGCGTTAAAAAAGCAAAGCTCATTTGCATGTTTGCATGTGGCATCATCACTTTTTAATTTTAATTTGTGTTCTTCTGTCCAGTGTCTCTAAACCAGTGGATTATCCAGAGTGGTGTGAGATCATCCGCAAACCGGATTCCTGCGTCAGCGTCGCAGTGATGAGAGTCAATCACAAGCTGCCCTGCCTCTGGGGACAAGGACGCCTGAAAACAGCAGGACAGCCATGGATACCTGACAACAATCCTTTATTTTGAGTTTAGATCTCTGAGCAAAGCAGATATCTCGAGAAATGAAAAAGTTAGTCTTTTATTTTGAAATAAGGTTGGTAACATGCATATCTGAAAAGTCACAGCCATACATGCACGCACACCTAAACTACTATTTTATATTTTAACATAAAGTATTGATTGGTTGTTTATATCTGTTTAATGTTACAAATGATGAATCGTTTCTGACTTCATTGGATGTTTTAATAAAGTTAAAGCAGTTAAAAATAAATTTGTGTTGGCTGCCAAGTTATTTTTTATAATAACAACTGATTAAAATATATACTAATGTGTGAATAAGATTCAAGACTTTCAGCTTTAAAAAAATATTGTATGATGACACGCATTATTTTTCAATTCCGGGCCTAGAGGGCCAGTTTCCAGCACGTTTTAGTGGTTTCTCTGCTCCAACACACTTGATTCAATGGTTGAATCACCTGTGCAGCAGCAGCTCATCAGGCTCTGCAGAAGCCTGTTAATCACTTGCTGACTGAAATCAGGTGTGTTGAAGCAGAGTTAAAACTAAAGCGTGCTGATACCGGCCCTCCAGGCCCGGAATTGATTACCCTTGCCTAGCTTCACAAACGTATGTTGTTGTTAAGTGTTTAATAGAAAGAAGCATAGTGTTTAATGAGCTAAATTTGTTTAAAATAAGGAAAAATGTGAATTCATCATAATGATTGTTCAATTGTTTTATGCATGTAACTGCGCACATAGATATTTTTCATTTTATTTTTGTTAGGATTTGTCCATGCTGCTGTGTCCACCAGCTTACTTCTATGCATTTGCTTCAAATGAGCCTTTTTAAACTTAAGTTGAGTATATTTATTTATTATCTATCACCATCACCCCTACTACTACTACTACTACTACTACTACTACTACTACTACTACTACTACTACTACTACTACTACTACTACCACTTCCACTACTACACTACTACCAATAATAATACCAATAATAATAATAATAATAATGTTATTATTAAGAAGAAGAATTATCATCATCATCCTCACATCTGATTGTGAACTTCATTTTGAGAAACACAGAAAAGAAAAGAAGGATTTCCAGTGTTTACTTTTATTTTGAAAAGGGGGCGGCGCAGGATTGTGACGTCAGTTCTGGCGCCCTGTTGGTCTTACCCGTGTTGTGCTTGTCACGGAGTTTTCCAAATGTTCCTTTTATTCTCACTTCTTTCCAGTTACTCTTAATGAAACTACAACGATAAGCCGAACTATGTGGATTCTTACACCCCTGCAGCCTGAAGGTAACTATTTAAAATCACAATAGCATTTTTACGCTAGCTGGCTGCTAGCTGGGCGAAGTTTATGGTCTCTGAAAACACGCAACACTAATTAAATGAATGCGAAAATGCAAACGTAACTCCGCTTGGCTCTTGAAAAGGGTGTTGTTTAAAACATTTGTGTTTGAGAAGAATCTGCTAGGGTCTGATGATCGTATGGCTGTGAATTAGTCATTTTATTTCCCGTGGCTAGTCACGTTTGTGTTAAATGAGTCATTTCTTTACTGTTTGCTTATAGGCAGACAGATTCTCTTGTTGGAGTATTTGTTTTTAACAACAGCTCAGTATTGATACTGTAAAGTGACAGAAATCATCTGTACCATGCATAACAATGTGTAAAAATAACAAACAACTGAATAACAATAATATTTATTAGGCAGTTTTAAAGATTAATTCACAAGGAACAATGGATACCTTATTTAGTCCCTTGGGTTAATTCCCTTCTGTATCTGACCCATCCCAGAGGAGCAGTTCCCCCCCTCTGGGACAACTTCCAGACTTCAGTATCTTGCCCAAGGGCACTTCAGCATGTGGCCCGCTGGAGCCTGGGATCAAACCCCACTCAGCCATGACTGCAGTCAATATTAGATTTTTTAAGATGATTACAGATGTCAGCCAGAGTGACGACAATAAAAAAGTACATAACCATTGAAGCGTGCTTACCTGTGACGTAAAGGTGAGCTGCGTGTAGAATAGTGGTGAGTTGTGGGATTTCCACAGTGAGATGCAGTTTGTGTCTGAAACATCTCAAGCTTCTCTCCTTTCCCTCTTCCAGGTTTTATTGGATGGTTTAAAGAGCCTCTTGGTTTAACTGAAGCATCTCCACTTGCCACCCTAAACTACTTGGTCCATCGTAGTGTAAAGTGCTTTGGGGTCCTCTGACTCTTCAAGGCGCTGTGCAAGTAGATTTCCTTAACTTGATGTTGTGTGTCTTCTCAGGTGAGACCTACTACCTTCTCCCTGGGAAAGAGTACGTAGTGGGACGCAAAAATTGTCCCATCCTTCTTCCCAATGATCAGTCCATCAGCAGAGCGCATGCTCACCTGACTGCTACAGACCAGGTGAGAGAAAGGAGGGAGTTGGTGGTTTAAATCCATGATCCCCTAACACAATGACTCTTATTTTAAAGGTAAGTGGCTTGTGTTTGTAAAGCGCCTTCTTAGGGTTTTACAACCGCCCAAGGCGCTTCGCAACACAATCACACATGTCGCTCATAATTATGAGATAATAATTTTTTTTTTTTATCTGAGCGGCGGGAATGGGCTTCCTTAGTAATGTGCTAAAAATCACTTGGACCGTGTTTGTATGTGTGGTTCCACTTTAACACAGAAGGTGGCGCTGTTGCACCAGGCCTGCACGTTTGCCCTTATAAATCTAAACCATCATTTCTACCAAATACAAATAAACCATGAATCGTATTTTTACTGTAACTCAGCGAATTATCTTTTTATTCTTAAATGAGGAGATGAATGTGATCATCTCAGATGTGGATTTAATCTCTGGCTCTTTTATGTTTTAGACCCTGAGTCTGAGAGACGCCTCCAAATACGGCACGTTTGTCAACAACCAGCGTCTCACGGCTCCAGTTAACCTGACGTCGGGGGACAGCGTCACTTTCGGGGTTTTTCACAGCAAATTCACGTGTGTAGCAGGAAAATGACTTCACGGATGAAGTGTGCTTGGAAGTAACATACGTGGTGCGTCTTCTGCCTCAGTGTGTCGCGTCACCGCCTGCTGGTGTGTTCGTCGTGTTTGGAAAGTGCCGGGAAGACGACGCTCTCTCAGGCTCTGGCTGCTCTGGGGGGGAAGCTGGTGAACACCTGGAGTCAGGAGTGCACTCACCTGACCATGCCGACAGTGAAGGTCACAGTTAAGGTCAGGCTCACTCCGTGTGTTTGCTGCCCCTGGTGCGGGTTTGATTCCAGCTGCATGTTTATGTTCTGGCCTCCCTGTCTGAATCAGACCATTTCAGCGCTGCTGTGTTGTCGCCCCATCGTGAAGCCGGAGTTCTTCTCAGAGCTCAGCAACGCCGTTCGGCGGACACTACCCCTTCCTAAAGCAGAGAGGTACAACACAACCCCTGATCAGTTATCATTCGTTTTAACTGTAACTGATTTTTTTCTCTGCGTGTGTTTTTAAAGATTCATCCCTGAAATCGATGAGCCCAGCTTGACCAACGAGGACGTTAACCTCAGCGTGATCCCAGGTCGCCAGCAGCTTTTTTCTGGGAAAACCTTCCTCTTCCTCACGGCCAAACAGGTTACTGAAGAGACAGCGATGAGTTCTTATGATCCATGCTTAGTTTCTTTCAGAAAACGTGATTTATTGTTATGATTAGACTTGTGTTTATCAGTCGCTCCCCTGGGTGAGTCACTGCTGCAGCAGAGGGCTGAAGTTACCGTTTCAATCCAACTTCATACCCTCTCTGGACGTTCTGGACGTGAGAACACGGACTCATAAACCGACAGCTTGC